TCATCATCCCGACCCAAAAATTACGTCGAGCATATCCGAGAACCCATGTCTGAGAACCGCACGCAACGATGACACGGTCCTCAGGCTCTAGCTCATCTTGGGATAGGGAATACTTTGAGCCCTGGATTCAGGAATCCCGCCGGGAGTACTATTGCACTCGAGGAGCGTATCCGGAATTCCCGAATTACACGAGAAACCAAGTGTGCGAGTGGGAATTCCATCGCACCATAACCAACGATCCGCACAGAGCAGACTATCCCGAACCGGATTACACACAATATTACACCTCTCCCGGATTCGTGGTTGTCGCCACTAATTACCCTCCCTTCCGTGTTCTCCTCCCATATCACCAGCTCACAGTGGTGCCATGGCGGGTCATAGCGGCGTATTGGTCTGAACCATGCAGAGAGTGTTTACTCAGGCGCCACCCGCGTGCTCCTCGCTTTGACCAGTGCGCCCATAACCCGCGGCGTGGCCAACGATCGACCCCCTTTCGAGTCCCCAGGCAGGACGCGCGGCAGTCCCCCGCACCCCGGTGATCCCCATCAAACCCGAAGCGGTGAGATAGGCGGTAGTTGCGTGCTTGCCCTGCCCTACGGCAGTATTGCGCCCACGACCCTTGAACTCGGCCACAGAAGATCCCAGTTCCGACCAGGGACTTCAACCCCCACTTTCCCAAAAATCCTTGGCACACCCCTCTTCGCACTTTCAGGCCCCCCATCCCACTCCAATCAGGAAGTCGCGTCGGGCGTGAGGTTGGTATTGGAGCCCGACACGTGGCTAAGCGATAAGGGTCTATAAACTCAATACTGGCTAAGGCGAGGCGTTCTGGCTCCACGTAGGCGCCCTCCAGCTGGTAATATACGTCGACGTAGTCCTGTAGCTACACGAAGTCGAACATCTGCCACAAGGCGAGCAGGCGCCATGGTTGCGGCCGCTGCTGCAGCAGCCGCTGTGGCGGCCATCCCCAATCAACCGCCTAACCCGCCTGCGCGAACCCCTGCGGCTCCACTGGATCTTTATTTATTTGACCCAGCACACCGTCTCGTCGGAGCATGGTTAGCCACGCTCCGAGCTCAGCAGTATACGAACGATGAAGCTCAGATCAACATCCCCGCGCGGATGGGGGGAGACGCCCATCATTGGTATAGCACTTATGTATGGGTGGATCTTCCCACATTTGAGCGGGATTTCATGAACCACTTCGATTATGTTCACCCCGAACAAGCACTCTATATGATCAAGGATCGAGTTCAGAAACCACTCGAATCCATTACCGAGTATCGAAACAGATTTCATAGAATGTTTGTAAAGACTGAGCGGGGCGAGCAGGTAGGCCGGGACCTGTTCATTGATGGACTACGTAACAAAACGATTCGCGAGAAGCTACGTAAAAACTTCTCTCCCATTAATCACACACTGCAACAAATTATGGACGCTGCAGAAGAGATGGAGCGGAAATTCGCAGCTAGCTTCTTAGAAAATGAGGATTACGGTAGAGAAGAAGACTCGTCCGAACTTGTGAAAGCAAGGGCGGAACTGGCCGCACTACAAAACAAATTCGAAAACATGGGATTCATAGCCGGACCCGTTACATATGTAGAACAGGTAACACCGAGGACCGCACCCCATGGAGCGACTATAGATAGGCAGATCCCAGTAATGGCGTCCCCAACCATAACTCGGCCACCTCCACCACCACCCACCATCTAGTCACCCGCAAAAACGAGTGAGTCTACTGCTATCTTGGAGCTAACCAAAAATTTTGTTAGTCTAATCCAGGAAAGCAAGAAGGAACAGCGAGAGCACAACGCCTGATTAGAAGCTATGATGCGGAATATGCGACCCATTGCGGTGCGAGCACCAATGCAGGGAGGCATGGCTGCGGCCCAAGTGGGAGCGGGGCCAGCTGGGACCGCGAAAAATGCCTGTTTTACATGTCATCAACCGGGACATTTGGCCCGAGATTGCCCCCATCGTGCCATGCAGCCTCGAGCCGGGATCGCGCCTGCAGATGCAGCTCCCATAGCTAACGGTCCAGGACGTGTAGGAGCTGTAATGGATGATCAGGGGGGAAGTACGGGAATGATGATTTCCAGTGAGGAAGCAACTGAGCTTATCCCGCTGGAGCAGTACGTATCACTAGGATACCCGGGGATGGGAATGATTGGGACAATTCGACCGGAACTCGAGTCCAGAGATGTCGCCGAATGGCGGCCTTCGTCGAGCGAAATGGAGACGGGAGGCCCTACCTTTGTCACAGGAGAAATCGATGTCCTTGAAGTCACCCGAGCACTGGATCATCGAATCCCTCTCCCAATCGGCCACCTACTCTCCATCTCGGAACAGGCGAACGAATGAATGATGCAACATTGCAAAGCGAACCGGAAGCGATTCGCCCTTGCACGCACAAAAGATCAGAAGGCGAAGGCGCCGCCTTCGGAGAAAAAGGCGGACGTCGCCCCTGATCCCATCCGAGTCGGATTAATACAGAAAGACGACCACTTTCTACGGATCAAGCCGATTCCGTGGAAATCAGCCGAATGTGATATTGAAGTCTGGGGAGTGTCATATAGTGCAATCATAGATTCGGGAGCGGTTGTCCTAGCAATATCCCTCCGAGTAGTCGAGAGAGCGGGTAGGAAGAATGATTTGATTATGCTAACCGATAAAGACCAGTTCGTATCGGCTGACGAGGAGAAGATCAAGACAGTAGGGCGTATGACGAATGTCGCGTTCCGATTGGGAAAAGTGCATGCTTTAGGAGATGTTGTGGTGCTGGATGTGAATACATATGACGTCATGTTCGGGCTACCTGCGTTAGTGGCGTTGCGTGCTAATTTTGACTTCGAACGCCGATCCGTCATTCTCCGGAATACCGGGGGAAAGCTGTATGTAATACCTATGAGACTAACTCTTCGAACAACGGTTAAGGTAGTACCCCGAATTTCTCCGGAAACAATGGGAGCGCTCTGCATGGTCTCCTGGAGTGCACCTGTGGACGGAGGCCAATCATCGAACAACGAGGGGAGCGACGACGACGACGATCCCATCGTTACATGGTTATTACGGCAGCGGATTCACTATCCTCCGCCTCGCACTACACGGAATGCTCATATGTTGATCATGGGAGAACCCCTCGTACAGATTTCGAGGCTGGTTGATTCCTTGGAACCCCCTCGGACCCTGTACGAAGGCGTATCTCCCCTTCTCCTTCGGTATAGCGACAAACGTTCCTTTTGCGATCTCACTGGCTTAACTCGATCCCTGCTTCGGCCCGCAAAAGAGGTTCGTGTGCTAACTACTTCAGCAAGTTCGACATTCAGCATGGGTTTTATCATATCTTGGTGAAAGAAGAAGATCGGCCCAAGACTGCCTTCGTTTTGTTTGAAGGCACGTGGCAGTGGGTTCGGTGCCCGATGGGAATCTGCAATGCGCCTGCCACGTTTCAGCGGGCGATGAATGTGACTTTTCAGAATTTCGTCAATAAGACGCGCCTGACTCAGGGGATGATCAACTTCTGTGTCATTGTGTACATGGATGACATTCTGGTGTACTCGGACACGTTTCACGGACACGCGCAGCACATCAAATGGACGTTGGGGGCGCTGAGAGACGCAGGTTTCAAGATTGCGCTGGAAAAGAGCGAGTTTTTCCTCCCGGAAATCTCGTTCTTGGGGTATGTGGTGACACGTGGAGGCCTGCGGCCGGACTCTCGAAAATTCATTGCGGTCAAGGAGGCCTCGGTTCCGACCTCATTGACGCAGGTTCGAGCTTTCCTGGGCCTGGCCTCGTACTACCGGCGGTTCATCAAGGGGTTCGCGACTATAGCAAGGCCTCTGACAAACCTGTTGCGAAAAGAACAGCCCCTTCATTGGGATGATGAGTGCAACCAAGCCTTCAGGGCCTTGAAGGAAGCTCTCGTCACGGCCCCGATTTTGATCCGGTCGGACACCTCTCGGCAGTTTATCCTCATCACTTACTGGCAGTCGGAGGCTATTTCGGCCATTCTGGCGCAGAAGGGAAACGATGGGAAGGAGCATGTCATTGAGTATGCTTCCCTGACGGTGCCAGACGAGCGACGAAACGATTCCGCGCCACAAGGAGAATGTTATGCGGTAGTGTGGGGTATCCAACACTTCCACCCGTATTTGTACGGTCAGAAGTTTCTGCTCGTCACCGACCATGAACCTCTGTTGACTCTGAAGAAGCTAACCAACTACACGGGCATGATCGGACGATGGGCGGTGCGGTTGCAAGAGTATGAATTCGACATTGTTCATCGAAAAACGGAAAGACACGGCAACGCTGACGGACTGACACGTCTGCACCGACCTGACAAAGTACCAAAAGCGGAAGAGATCACACCGTGCAAGGACCCGGACATCAACAACGGTCCAAAGTACGGAGAAGTTGCGGTGATTCCACGTGGCAAGACGCCGGTGAAGGGCAATGGGTGACGGAGGTAATGTCCTGATTCCCTCTCTTTCTTCCCCATCCTCTTCTTTAGCCTCCCTTCCTGACAAATTTTGCTATTTCTGCGAGGCAATTTCTCGAGTCTATTCCGTCCACATGTGTCCAAAAGGGACGAGATATGCTGAATGGGTAAACTGTCGAACATGTGTCGCACGTGCTTATGGTGCGTGCATACAGTATTGGAGTAGTGATAGACCCTGGTTCTGTCCCTTATGTCGCACTGACAAGATTCCGACGGAAGCCCGATTCCTCGATGCCACGTCGGAAGGCCCCGATAAAATCCAGAAGTTTAGAAGAGCGGAAGTTTGGACAGATGTCGCCTTAATAGCCATGGTGGTAGGCAACTCCCTCGAAACCTTCTCCAGGGAGGATCAGAGGAGGGCCAATGAAAGAGCACGGGATTACCGATGGGTGGATGGACGGTTAGAGAAGCGTAAAACGGACGGCAGTGGAGCATGGTTAGTAGTTCCACACTCGTTCATGCGGTACGACTGAGTACGAACCGCCCACGAGGAAACGGCGACGCATTTTGCCGTGCGTATTATCGAAGCTGCGATTGACAGGAATCAATGGTACTGGTCCAATATCTGGGACGACGTTAAATTCATCGTCCAACACTGCCAGGTCTGCGCTGCTGACAAGGCCCCAGCCCAACCGCCTAGATCGATAGTCCCAACTGTGGTTGAAAGGCCGTTCCAGAGGGTTAGCATGGATACTACTGATATAGTGGTGCCCCCTGGACCGAATAGTTGCGACTGTTCAATTCTGCTGGTTTTCATCGACCACTTTTCTACGTGGATCGAGGCCTACCCCTGCAAGACACGACAAGCCACGGAAATCGCGCGGTACGTCAACCGCTTTCTGGGCATGCACCAGGATACAGAGGAGATCCTGACCGACAATGGGGTCAAATTTAGAGGAGAAGTCGAGAGGAACCTGGTCCTCCACGGCGTCTCCATACGGCACACGGCCTCGCACATGTCCCAGTCTAACGGATTAGTGGAAAACGTGAATAGGGTGATAAAAACAGCCTTGCGGCGGAATATTGCGGCACGAGACCCCCGACCCTGGCCTGATATTGTCGACCACATCTTGGCGGTCCATCGCGGAACGCCCCATGAATCAACGGGCCTAAGCCCCTTCCAGCTGCGGACCAATAGTGTCGCGTGTGTATCGATACCGAGCCTCCCAAACGAATCAGGACTCAACCGACGCCCCACAAGGGCCACAGATACTGAGCTAGACCGCTGGATACCCACTGGAATAGGCTCCTGACTGCACGTACCATTCCTTTTTTCCATTCCTTTTTTTCTAAAATTTTAAACTCCGCTACATTCTTCTCTCAAATCTTTCATCATCTTTCAAATTCTTTCAATTCACCTTCACCACCTACCTGCCAACCACTACTC